TTTTAAATAAAAGTTGTGTGGTTATGATTGAATTTTGTTAAAATGCTATTAAAAGTACAGTAGCGTGCAGATTTCAGGGGATACAAAAAAAATTTAAATGGGATATCCTGTATATTATTAAATTTTTGGAATGATCCTTTGTTCCTGATTTCAAAAATATACCATATGTTACCCCTGCCATATACCGTTTTTGAGTTATTAAACGTCTAATATCTTAGTTAAACTAGTTACTGTGAATATGGAAAAGTTAACATTATTAAAGTGAGCTATGAAAATGACAACTATTATGTTTGATAAGTGACATTTCTTTAATGAAATAATCAAAATGGTTTACAGTGGGGAAGAAAAAAAACAAATATTTATACAAAATAGATAAAGATTTATTTAGTAAATTTAAATATAAATAAATGAAAACTCATAAAAGATGTTTGATGTGTCCACCATTATTGTCAATGCATAATTGATAACCTTTGTGATCGCAATTTATGTTTTTACTTGCCCTTTCCTACAATACAGGGCGTTTGCCGTGTTATGCTTATGCTTTTGTAACTTAGAAGAACTCATGTTTGTGTTCAGATGTGTTGTTATATGCAGGAAAAAGATGAAAAACCTGCTTTATCTTTATTTTTTTGGTGGCTTTGTAAAGTTTATGAGTTTTGTGTGGGGTTTATGGGAGGTGAGGTAAGTTGAGAGGGAGGGAATTTGTTATGTTTTGTGAGTTGTCTGTATGTCAGTCTGGTTATCTTTGTTCGTTGATAGTGGTAGTCTCTCATGTATGTATTTGTGAATATGTTGTATATGGTAGTAGCTTCTTAGGTGTGTCTTGTGTCTGGTTAGTCTTGATGTTTGTGTAAGTATTTATTTTTAGGAATTTGTTCATTGTCTCGTAGATATGTGGTTGTATGTAGTCGATGTTTGCTAGTCTGTGTAGGTCTTCTATGCATATGTATCTGTTAGAGTTTGTAAGTAATCTTAGTAATTTATTCTGTGTCGTTTGTAGTCGTTTATACTGTGTGTTTGAAATATGGCTCTAGGCCGCACAGGCGAAAGTCAATGTCGGTCTCAGTATCGTTTTGTAGAGTAAAAGTTTGTTATCTGTCGTCAATATGCTTCATCTGTTAATTAATGGGTGAGTCTGATTAATGTACCGTAGATCTTGTTTATCGTATTCGTTATATGTTGTTTAAATCTTAGTCGTTCATCCAATGTAATATCTAGGTATTTTACCGTGTCTTTTTCTGTTATTGTCTTGTCGTTGATTTTGAGTTTATTTATAGTTTTTATGTTTGTGAATTTCCTCGTTAGTGTTATTGTTTCGATCTTGTCCTCGTTTAGTTTAATCTTCCAAGTCTTGTAATAGTCTGTGAGTTTGTGTGTATGGTAACGTACTTTCTGGGTAACCATCTCCGCGTAGTATGATTGTCCATATATTTGGTGTCGTCTACGTAAATTATCGTTTTGTTGTTGGGATAGGTAGGAATAGATGGGGGATAGGACCGTACCTTGTGTTACTCCTGCTTGGATGTTTTTGAGCTTTTGAATAAGCTAACATAGTACAGTCGTAGCTTAATGATTTCTTTAAGCTTGTAGAGTAGCCCTGAACGCCAATCAGTATCAAAAGTTTTTTGTATGTCCAACAGGAGCATACATTGATTGTTTTTTTGTTAATTCCTTCCGTGACATCCTACATGACACTGCACAGTGCAAGAGCCGTGCTGTGCCCACCCCTAAATCGATCAGTGCTGCATAACTTCACTGATCAAATATAGGAAATTAAACGGATGACCATACCTCCCAAAGAATATGAAGTAACTAAGATTGAATAAAGAAATTCTAAAATTAAAATACTTAAAGTTAATCCTAAAGACTTGGAAGATAATCAGATTTTTATAGATAAATTTGTATTCCAAAACACTATAAAAACTTCAGAAGAAAAGAAGTTAATTAAAGTAGTGTATAAATATAAATCACGTGATAAAAGAAATTATAATGTAATAGTAGAAGTTGATCCAGATACTAATGGACAATTAAATCAAGAAGGGATCGTAAATATTGGATGGAAGAGATGCAGGTTTATAAATGATGTAAATATTATACAATGTTATAAAGTTGGAAATTTGGCCATATGGCAAATAAGTGCAATAACCCTAAAGAAATTGTTCCAAATGCGCGGATGAACATAAAGCAAAAAATTGTAAGTCAGCAACTAAACTATGTGTAAATTGCAAACATACAAAGGAAGTTTCAAAAGTGCCTAATATTACATATAATCATGCAGCCTATGATAAAGAATGTGAATCCTATAAAAGAATATACTAATTGATTCTAAATTGAGTACCATAAATTAATCAGGTTGTAGATAATGTCGAAAAATGCATAAACTGAAATAATTTTTTTCCGAAAATGCTACCTAACAAGATGCAGGGTGTTAAATGGTCGTATAAGGTACACTCCATTACTCATATCTTTTAACAGAGTAAATCAACGGAATTCATTTTTTGTATACAATTAGAAAGAGCAGTAATTAAACAAATTTTCACCGCATTCTAACAATCTTGTACCGTAGTAATATGGGTCATATGGCACTTGTATACTCTAGAAATAAATTGCGGTTAGGTTTTTTTACTTTTCATTTTCATAATCCCTGACTCAAACACTACAAAAAAAGGTATACTTGTTTAATCTGCCCAGGGGCGTCCGTTCTCGGGATATTTTCAGTTACATGTCGTAGCACCAGTCATATGAAATACTATTTTGCAAATACAGTTATAAGGGTGCCTTTGAAATTTGTTCTTGTGTCAAGTGCCATTTTGTTCCTATTTAATAAATTCGCTTGTCATAAAAGTAGTGTGTAAATAATAGTAATTTAGAAAAATGGCAAATTATTCTTGTGCAGAACACACAGATATGCTTTTAACATTAGGAGAATGTCAAGGAAATTCCACAGCGGCAGCTAGACGTTATTCAGAAAAGTTTCTCAACAGAACAAAGTCGAACGTCATTGTCGTGAAACTGGTTATGTTAAACCACAACATTTGAACAAAGGTAGAAGACGAACTATGTGAACAGTTGAAAAGGAGGAAGGTGTATTAGAAATTTTATATAATCATCCCACCGTAAACACAAGACGGCAAGCAATTCAAACAAATATTTTGCAGTCCGTGGCCTGGAGAATTGCTATGAACAGCAGCTGCACCCTTATCATTTGAGGCAAGTACAAGATCTTTTGCCTGTAGATAGAGTAGCACATGTTGAGTTTTGTGAATAGTTAATTGATATGCATAATCACAATCCTAATTTTATGTCAAAATCATCTTTACAGATGAACCAACTTTTACCAGAAATGGGGTTTTCAAAATGAACAATTGATTTGTTTGGTCAGAGGAAAATCCACGAGCAGCCAAAGTCACTCATTATCAGCATTCATTTAAAATAAATGTATGAGCTGCTACACTGGGCAATAAGCTTCTTGAGTATTACATCTTTCCTGGAAATTTATATCATGAAATTTTGGAAAACACTTTTTTTTTATTCGTACAACATATTCCACTTAGAACTAAGCGCAGACTTTGGTTCATGCACGATGGCGCTCACCGCATTATGGTAGACAACCTAAGCAATGGCTTGGTGACCATTTTCTAAATCGATGGATTGGTCGTGGAGTTGACGCTCCTATTCATTGGCCTGTACGATCTCCGGATTTAATTCTGTTAGATTTTACTGTCTGGAGACAAATTAAAGACAAGGTTTACGTAACTCCGGTAGATACTATAGGGGGAATTAAGACTAAGGGGGAGGAAATATTTTTAAACAATTACCAAATCATCCAGATTTGCGCAGAAATATGTTTTCTTTAGAGAAGCGTTTGCGCGAGTGTATACGTGTCAATGGAGGACACGTTGAACAGTTATTGTTATAGTCTTAATTTTAATTAATTTGTTTTTAGGTAATAAAACTTGTTTCTTAGTCATTCTCATTTGTATTTGCAACATAGTATTTCACATAACGACTGGTGCTGCGACATGTAACTGAAAATATCTCGAAAACGGACGCCCCTGGGCGAATTAAATAATATACCATTTTTGTAGTGTTTGAGTCAAGCATTATGAAAATTAAAAGAAAAATAAAAAACCTAACTGCAATTTATTTCTAGAGTATAAAGTGCCACATGACCCCTATTACTACGGCACTGGATTGTTAGAATACGCTGAAAGTTTGTCTGCTTACTGCTCTTTCTAAGTAATTGTTGCATATAAAAAATAAATTCCGTTGATTTACTCTGTTAAAAGATATGAGTAAAAGAGTGACCCGCTAGTCGACCATTTAACACCCTGTATCTTGTGTAGGTAGCATTTTTGGAAAAAAAATTATTTGGGTTTTCGTATTATTTCGACTTTATTTACACCCCGTTTAATTCATGGTACTCAATTTAGAATCACCTTGTATAATCAACTTTTGAGCAGATTTAATTATCCACAAATTTTTGATAATATGTAATAATTCGTAGCAACTAAATGAAATATTATATCTTAATATTCAGTCTGTCAAAAAATAAAACTGATTTGGATTATATACTAATGGAACCGATTGTTATATGTTTGACAGAAACTCAAACTACAGAAGATATTAAAAATGCTGAAATGGACATTGAAGGATACCGCAATGTTTGCTGTTACTCAACAAGTAGACACACTGAAGTGGCAATTATATATATTAAGGAAAAATTTAAATTAAAAAATATTCTTAATGAAACAATGATCATGAATATGTGGATAATTGGAATAAATATTGTAATAAATAAACAAGTATGTATGATATCTGCTATCATTCTCTTAATTCCAGTCGTACAGATTTTTTATCAAAATTGGAAGATGTGAAGCAAGATTGGACAAGCAGTAATAGTACATTAATATTACTTGGGGACTTTAATATAAATCTGGGCAAAGTTATTACTGTGATAAATTACAGGATTGAATCGCTTGGATTACATCAAATTTTGGGCATGATAGCTGAGTGGATAAAGCGTTTATAGCTACCGGTACTGAAGATCGATGGTTCAATTCCATCCTGGAGCAAGGTAGAAATTTTATTTGTAATTTGTTTCAGACTAAGATGGGAGAAGGAATTGTCGATGTCCTAGATGGGGTTAGGACTCCACATAAACTCACGCCTCGTCTCTTTCTCTACCCCACACAAAATCCTAGGATTTTCCGGGAGTTACTTTGGTGACTTGAGAGGCGGTTAAGAAAACATTTAAAGAAATGGATAGATTTACAAGAGTAACTAAGGAAAGTAGCACTATAATAGACGTAATAATTACAAATAAAAAAGATTAAAAATGTCAAGTTCATACTACACCGAAAATATCTGACCACTCAATTATTACAATAGAAATAATGGATAAGATAGAACCATATAATAAAAAAATCAATGTATAAATATGTTAATGAGAGTAGCTTTCAGGATGACTTAAAAAGTTTTGAATGAAACAATCAGGATAAAGATACTGATATATTATCAACTACTGTTTACATTGCGATGGAGGACGATGTAGACGTAGGTGTTGATCGCTCTGATCAAAAATGTGAAATTTGTGAGATTATTATTAGAAAAACTTCTAAAAATAGGTGTGTAGAAAAGTGCAGTGTAGTAAGAAATGCATAAAAAATGTTTTGAAAAAGTCGCAAAGATTTTTGCAATTAATAAAGTAATTGGCGATGTCATAATTGCATCAATGCAAATTTTGACTGTCGTGTCAGAAAGTGATAACTCCTGCACAGATATTGAAGTCTGAAGGGATGGAAAGAGAAAATTGTTTACTAAATAATTTGGTAGAAGAATTAAAATATAGTAATAATTTGTTAAAAGAACAATTGAAAAACCTGTAAGTATTTTTAATCCATCTGACCAGTCTTTATCGCAGACATATAGCTCAATCACGGCAAATAACTTTTATTTGCCGTGGCTCAATGGTAAAAAATGTCAACAATTCTACTGGTAAACAGAATGCATCCGTTTTAATAATAAAATCTACTGCACAAAATGTAAATGTAATGGAAGAGTTACGCAGTCATGTTAATCCGGCAAATTTAAATATACGAATTAACAATACTAGCTATACAGTGTGGACTTTTAATAAATTGTGAAAATGATGACTCTTTATGTAAGTTAAAAAGGGGCAGTTGCAAATAAATTTGCTGATAAGTTTAATATAAGCCAACCAAAAAAAAATTAATACTCGTATAATAATTACAAATGTGGACAAAAAACTTAAATTTTCTAATGAATAATTCATTGAGGATATTATTTTAAATAATCCCGATTTAAAAGACTGTAAGCAGAAAATTAAATTTATAACTAAGTTTAACCGCAAATTTACACAAGAGTGTAGTGGTGGAAGTATCACCAGGCGTTAGAAACAAAATTATCCCGAAAGAGTTTATATACATCAAATGACAAAAGTGTCCAGTAGCAGATTATTACAATGTTACTAGATGTTTTCGATGCTCACGGTATGGTCATGCTAGAAAATACTGCAAATTTTTGAATCCAGTATATTCAATATGTGCAGAAAGTCATGAAACTAAAGATTGTAATAACTTAGATAAGAAGAAATGCATCAATTGTTCAAATTTCAATTTAAAAAACAAGAGGAAATAATAATAACATTTAGGTCAATCATTCTGCTAACGATCATAGCCTATGTGCGTGTTTTCAACATCAAATTAATGTATTAAAATCTAAAATTAGTAATGGCGAATAAAACATAATTATTAAATTTTAAAATTGGTCATTTAAATACTAGGTCATTGTTACCTAGTTTTCTGGATTTTTCAAACATGGTGTTACAAAACTCATTTGATGTATTTTTTGTTAGCGAAACATGGTTGACACTAGACATACCATCTCATCTAGTAACAATTCCTAATTACCGTTTAATTCGAAAATACCAAAAAGGGCGTGGAGGTGGTGTTGCTGTGTATATAAAAAGTCAATATACCTGTGAAACAATTGATATAAATTAACAAAATGTTACCGATATTGAACACTTATGGATAAATCTGAAAATAAATAAGATTTCATTTGCATTAGAGGTATATAGACCTTCCCAAAATAACTAGCGAAATGCGTTGAGACCTTAGATAATATTATATCGTATCTTATGCCGATGTATGACACTCTTTTAATTACGGGCAATGTTAATATTAATCTTTTTAACTTGAGCAATTCATTGACGTCGTGTTGTGATGCATATGGATTGTTTCAAATTATTGATGAACCTACGCGAATTACTCAGTATTCTTCAACATTAATCGATCCCATTTTTATAAATAATATTAACGTTAAAAATTATGGCAATCTAAATGCCGATATTATTACAGATCATAGGCTGGTTTTTGTGAGTTAGCAAGAGAAATTTTAAACGCAAATCAAAATTGCATACTTACAGAAATTTTAAATATTTTGATCAACAATAATTTGATAATGATTTGAATAAATTTTATATAAAAAGTATTGATGAAAAAATATTTTTTTTTAACAGATAATATATTGCATTTGTTCGCCACTCATGCCCCAATCCGTACAGCGCGTATGAATAAACCACATTCTCCATGGCATACCGGAGAACTTATGCGTATTTTAGCAGAAAAAGACAGAGCAGCACTCACAAAATATAGACAAAATAAAACGGATGATAACTGGGGCAATTATAAAATTGCTCGTAATTAAAAATAATGAATATTCAAACAAATGAGAACACAATTCTTCCAGATAATTTAGCTGACCCTACATCTATCGATAATTTCTTTCTATCCTCGTTTAATTTAAATGTAAATAAAACCACTATTAATTTTTATGAAAATAACAGATATAATATGAATAACAATTTTACTTTTACTCTTACTAATCATGCGCAAATACATAAAATAATTAGCAGGATTAAGTCTAATTCTTGTGGATCTGACGCAGTTACATTACAAATGATTAAGTTGTGTCTTCCTGATTTATATTACTCGCATTATAAACTGTTGTTTGGAGAGTGGTTATTTCCCATTTGCTTGGAAACTAACAATCGTATGTCCTCTTCCTAAAAATCCAACTCATATAAATGAATTAAGGCCTCTCAGTTTAAGATCTACTTTAAGCAAAATGCTCTAAAAAGTTATTTATATACAGTTAGAACTTTAAGGAAAGTCTAATTATTCCGAGTCATCAATCTGGATTTAGATCTGGGCATAGTACCACAACAGCTCTTACGAACATTTCTGACAACATTATTAAATCAGTAGATAACAAACTTGCAACGGTGTCTGTATTTTTAGATTTTTCAAAAGCGTTTGACAGAGTGGATCACGCTTTGCTCTGTGCCAAACTAAAATACTATGGCCTAGATGAAGTTTCTTTAACATTTTTCATGTGTTATTTGGAAGGACTGTATCAATTTGTTCGCACACAACTTGGAATTTCATCAATAGAACTAGTAGTTTCCGGGGTCCTCCAAGGCTCAGTATGGGGCCACTTTTGTTTCTTTTATATACAGCAGATATTACTGCTGGCTTAAAATTTATGGACATACATGCATATGCTAATGATACTCAGCTTATTTACAGCTTTCATCCAACACATTTTCAGTATGCATCTAATTGTATAAAAGAAGACCTCAACTTAATCACTACATATTGTGAAAATCATGTTTTACAAATAAATGCTTCAAAAACCAATGTTATGCTATTTTGTGGGGGATCTGTTTATGAACACTTAAAAAAGCAATATCCATATTTACGTTAACAATGAAAAGGTGCCTTTTCTTGTTACTCTAAAAAATTTAGGATTAATTTTCGATAAAAATTTAAAATTTACGAATCATGTTAACGTGTTAATTAAAAAAACATATATAAACTGACGATTGCTATTTTCTAATAAAACTATTGTTAATTTTAAAATCAGAAAAAAATGTGAAAATATTGTATTATCTGTGTTTAATTATTGTAGCGTAATATACTATCCGTGTCTAGATTCAAATGACAGCAATAGACTACAAAAGATACAAAATACTTGTTGCTGTTTAATTTATGGATTAAAAAAATGTGTTCATATTAGTGCAAAAATTAAAGAATTAAAATGGTTAAAAGTAGGTAAATTATATTTACAAATTCAATTTACTTAATTTTATACACAGGTTACTCATTACCTCCACTCCCTTTTATCTTCGGAATAAATGAATACATCGTAGTCAGATAAACAATTTAAATATAAGACAGACAGACAAATCGTTGACTTATAATGCTGTCAAGAATTATAATTGGCTAGATCAAAGAGTTACAGTTGTACAACTTTTCGATATAAACTAAAACAATTTTTAATCAACCATCAGTGGTCTAATTTTTCTATATTATTGTTTCTTTTGTTTTGTTTTTTTTTTATTGTTATATTCGTTTATTATTACTACTATAGTTTTATTATTATTATTATATTAACATTTCTTATTTAGTAGCCATTAATTATTTATTTGGTATACTATTTGTATATTTTGTAATGTTATTTATCATTGCTTATCAGAATAATATTTATTTATTTTTTTAACGATTCTTTATTTATAGGTATTCTTTAATTTTGTTTATACATATATATTTTTTTTATGATAATAATTTACTTATACAAATAGGGTTGTGTAAGAATAGCCACATGGCTAAACTTCGCCCTGTACATATCCTGTGAGTATATGTTATATACATTTACACAATAAAGACGTTTTATTATTATTTTTTTTTCGGTTTCCCGATGCCGGTCAGTCCTCCCGTGGCCTCCCGACGCCTCACGGGAGTCGCGCCGGCGTATCAACTACAGCCACTCCCCACATCCCGCAGGGTTAGTGACTGTAGATACCAGAATCATGTGCCCTAAGCAGACGGAGAGAACCCAGAATGACCGCCTTCTGCATTTGGCCTGCCAGCCACTCGGCTGATTTTTGGCAGGCCGGTATGATCTTCAGTTCCGAGAGCAGCGTAGGCTTTATCCCTCCGAGTACACCGATTATAAGGACGACCATTTTTACTGAGGAGCCTGGGTACAG